AGGCCGAGCTGCAGCTCCCCGCGTGCCCCTGCGTGTGCATCAGCCACAGAATCGCAGCGTGTTTTGGGTTGGAAAAGACCTAAAACATCATCGAGACCCAACCCCCCTGCATGGGCAGGGGCTCTTCCCGCTGGAACAGGCTGCTCAGCGCTCCATCCAAGCTGCCCTTGAGCACCTCCAGGGATGGAGCCCCCGCACGTCCCTGGGCAGCCTGTCCCAGTGTCCCACCACCCTTGCACTGAAGATTTCACACCTGAATTTACCTGCTGATCCTGACCATTGAGACTGCTGCACTTTCAGCAAATCGTGGGCCACTTCATAGTCAGCCTGGGCAGGCACAGGCCTGACTCCAGATTTACTCACCATCTATGATTTACTTGAAACATTCAGGTTTACTCTCTGGCTATAGTCTTCATCTTCTACCTTATTAAAGCATTTCTCTTCTTAAGCTGTTTGTTTTCAGCCCTTTCTTGCTGAGATCCAGACAGAGCCCTGCACTGCCTCGCTCAGCCTCACCCCACCACACAGCCCTCCATGGCCCTCAGAGCTCCTTTCTGGGGCACCCCAACCTCCTTCATGTGCCTTACAGTGCACCCCTGGGGCTCCAGGGAGTCAGCGAGGTGCTTGGCCCCCAGAGCACACAGAGCGGGGCCAGCTGGGACTCCCCTGGGACAAGAGGGGACCACAGGTTGGGGGTCACCACTGGACCTCATGGCAGCCTCTGACGAGGGACCTCCAGGCAGGGTAGGTGCTGGCACAGGTGCCTGTACCAGATGTAGACCTGTACCAGGTATCCTCCTGGGAACACCATCCCCTTCCCACCCACACCAGGACAGGAGAAGGCACAGTGCATGTGGTGGGGTGGTGATGAGAGTCCCCATAATGCTTCCATGCCTGGCAGGAGCAGGGTCTTGTCAACTTCAGACAGCGATGGGGCTGTGCTATCTTCCATGTCTGTGAGGTTTTGGTCAGACGCCTGAGCTGTTCTTACTGCAGGGACTGTGTCGCTTTCAGGAGGATTTCTTGAGAGCCCCACAGGTGTCCCGCTCCCCATGGGACAAGTGGCAGAGGCCAGGATGCATGGGTACAAGGCGACATGGGCAGGGGGCACCTGAGGGGACGAGCGCAGACAGTCATGTGGTTCATTAATGACTACCTAATGACCTTGAGGCAGCGACATTGGGGAGCCGTGCCTCCTGGACCTTGCTCTTTGCCCTGCTCCTCCTCCTCCTGGATCCTTGCCCATTGGGTGCAGCTGGGGCCAGCATAAAAGAGGCGTGGAGGAGTGTGAGGGATCCCAGAAACTCGGAGGCCATCAGGGAAACCAAGGCACACACACAGGTGCAGGTGAGGGATACGTAGGGGTGTCTGCGGGAGGGGACTGTGAGGAGCCCAAGTACCCAGTGTGGGAGGGAAGATATGTAGGGCCTTCAGGTGCTGGGGCAAGGGGTGGATCTATAGGGGGCCCAGGGGTCTGGGGGGCATTCCATAGGGGACCCAGGCTTCTGCAGGGTGCAGATCTGTATGAGTCCCAGGTGATGTTCTGTAGGGGACCCAGGCATCCAGGTGGTATCTGCTGTGTGTCCCTGCGCATTTAGAAGGGATTTGTAAGGGACCCGGGTGTCTGGGAGGGGAAATCGGTAGAGGAATCAAGGGTCCAGAGTGGGGTTTCTAATTGGGGACCCAGAAGTCCACATTGCCCTGACCCCGTTCCCCACAGGTGGCCATGGCAGCCTGGACCCTGTGCCTGGTCCTGGTGCTGGCAGCACTGGAAGGGGCAGCAAGCGAGAGCCGCTATGAGAAGTTCCTGCGGCAGCACGTGGACCACCCCCAAACAGCCAAGCAGGCCGCTCATCGCTACTGCGAGACCATGCTGGC